GTCTGAAATAAAATCTTGTGCTTTTTACACTGGTTCGGTGGAACGTCTTGGCCTGTTACTGCCTGGATTTGCTAATTTTACTGGCCTGCTCCAAACTCCACTTTTTTCATGGCTGTTTGTGGAAGAGGTGAAATTAGGGGATAAGGATAATAGCTTTGTTATGTTACTGAAGTTGCTGGATAATGATTATTGAGAGGAATATGCATAGTATCCAAGCGCATTAGGTTTAAAATGGAAGTTTAAACTATTGTTTGTTTTTATTAGATATAGAGTACCCAGAGCTTAAGATGAGAACTGGAAATACCAAAAATATATACATATGTAAATTAACGTGCATGGACACATAGTGACCATTAAATTTGGTACAATTTAACAATAAGGGGTTTGTGTGTGTGTAAGTCTCTTAGTTTTAAGGCTCTCTTATTTTAAAGCACATTACTCTTTTCCATTGTCCTATTTATTCTTCTCCATCCAAATGAAGACATTAAAAAATAGAGTGAAAGATGGCAAGGGACGAAGGGTGGGGCTATGCACAGAGGTCATCTGAAATGTGTGTGGGTGCGTCCCTTTTATACCATAATAATTCAAGTGGCTCCTGGAATGCATCAGAATAGTGAGAACCAGAAAATAAGCCACTCCATTAATTCCAGCTGTTCAAAGCAGGGTGGGGCTTCTATATGGTGAACATTCTTAGTTTAAGTTCTAAACAGGGCTGGGTTCTCATAGGGTGAGCATTCTTAGCTTGAATTCTCTAAACAGGGTGGGGTTTCCTTTAGGATGAACATTCTTAACATAAACCTCTCACTGTGTAACAGTAGAAGATACTGTTGTGCTGCCTCAGGAGCAGCCAGTTCGCTCACTGCTCATGAGGAATAACTTGTACCAGGTCTATGTCTGGTGCAGTGCACATTCCCCAGCATGCTGGTGCAGCTCCCCAGCCCACTGTGTTTTGGGAGGAGGAGGTGAAGCCAAGCCCGGCCCCCACCCCACGCCCTCTTCTGCCCTTTCCGAACCACCTGTATGAATAGGACACGTAGAAGCCCTACTTCCCCACCACACTGCTACCCATGATGCTAGGCACACAAATGACCCTTAGGAGGAATAATGAAAACTGAGGAAAAGTGCTAACTACCAAATGTTACATGTATTGGCTGTGTACCTGCTCCCCCATAAATACCACAACTGCTACTGACTTTAACAATTGCTCAGCACCCTCTTAAGATCATACTTGATGCCACAAAATCAATCTATTGCATAATATTCCTCTGATGTACAAAACTACCATTTGAAAATGCCTAATATCTGCTTTTCTTTTAAAAGGGAAGACACAGACACAGTATTTTCGAAGAGCTGAATCCTATTTGCAATAAAGTCGATAGCAATATTCTTTGTTAATATTAACAACAAGGAGGAAGAAACAAAAGCCAAAATTGGGAAAGAACAGGTTAAAGAATATTTAGATAAGTGCTTGATGAAATTCATCCTAGGGTACTTAAGGAACTAGCTGAATCAATCTAGGAACTGTTAGCAATTATCTTTGAGAACTCATGGAGTGTGGGTGAGGTCCCAGAGGACTGGAGAAGAGAAAACATAATACCTCTCTTTAAAAAGGGGAACTAGGGGCATGTCTACATTTCTACTGAACACCTGTAGAGGCCTGACTAGGCTCACAGGGCTCAGACTACGGGGCTATAAAACTGCAGCGTAGATGTCCGGGCTTGGGCTGGAACCCATGCTCTGGAACCCTGCAAGAGGGGAGGGTCCCAGAGCCCAGGCCCCAGGCCAAGCCCTGACATCGACACTGCAATTTTACAGCTCTGTAGCCTGAGCTCCATGAGCCTGAGTTGGCTGACATGGGCCAGGCGCAGGTGTTTAATTGCAGTGTAGACATACCCTAAGATGACCCAGGAAATTATAGACCAGTCAGCCTAACTTTGATACCTGTCAAGATACTGGAACAAATTATTAATCAGTTTGTAAGCACCTAGAGAATAATAGGGTTATAAGAAATAGCTAGCATAGATTTATCAAGAACAAATCATGCCAAACCAACCCTGGGCATGGAGCCGGCAGCTGAACCCCTGGCCACGGCCAGGAACGGAGCCCCAGGAGTGGGGCCGGCAGCCAGGACCCCAGGCACAGAGCCGGCAGCCGGGGCCGGGACTGGGGCCAGGGCCAGGAATGGAGCTGTATGGTGCTCCCTCCCTGCCCCCTGTGCCTCTCCATATGTTCCTCTGCGCCACCCTAGGGGGCATGCCCCACCGATTGGGGACTTCTGGGTCAGATATTCAGAAAACCTTTTTAACTCTAAGGGTAATTAAGCTCTGTAACAGGCTTCTAAGGAAGGTTGTGGAATCCCCATCATTGAAGGTTTTTAAGAACAGCTTGGACAAACATTTGCCAGGATGGTCTAGGTTTACTTGGTCCTGCCTCACTTCAGGCAGCAGGGCTTGATGATCTCTCAGGGTCCCTTCCACTTGTACATTTCTCCTTGACTTCAGTGGAAGCAGGATCAGGTCTGATATCTCTGTAAACTACAGAATTTGGAGTTTTTAATCCTAGCATATACCAGCTCAATGATCTCATTTTAAAAATCTAATCATCTTATGTTGTTGCGTTTCAGTATCTCCATTCATTTTTCATACACTACCAATCTGTTTAAATTGCTGTTATAACAAAAGATATCTTCACCACTATTAGTCTGTTTTCCCCCAACAGTCAAAGTGCCATCACTAAAATGTGAATCTATGGCACAGCCATTTTAGAACCTCTTTCTAAAGTATTATCTTTTTTTTTTCTGTTCTAAATATAAGTACATTCATAAATAAGTGTGGCTGCCGCATGGCTGTCAGTCTGACCCATGGTGTGTGGGTGGAGGATTTTTTCAGACAGTATAAGAAAACTATTTTGTTTATAAGATACTGTATGTCTAGACATCAGTGACATGTTGAAACTAGTCTCTCTTACACACACTGCCAAGATGACATCATCAGGGAGACTCAATTTCACCCATAACCATGTGTGAGGCTTTTTTTTTTTTTTTTTTTTTTGCAAACGTTTCTCATCCCTAAGTCTAAAAGGCAAATTAACTTTGAAAGAAGCAAAAATGTATAGTCATTGCCCTCTTTTCAGTAACTGGCTTCAAATAGGACAGGAGAGTTGTGCTATGTTTAAAAGTCTTGGCCACAATCTAGTTTAGAATATTCTATTGATAATTTTCAAGTCTCTAATATTTTTTTATGGAAAGACCCGTTATAAAAAAGTTTGTCATGATTCTACTAAAGTCATTACAACAAATGTGTTATATTTTTGAAGTTTCCTTTGAAGTTTTATAAAAAGATGCTGGCCTTTATGACTATTTGCCTCCATATTAAGAGACTAATGGACAATTTTTCAGTTGGTCTTCTTACCTGTGCCTGCACAATTTGTGAAGACATCCGATTACACACACCAACCCTGCACACTCATGCTCATAATCGGGAACCAAACACACAATATGAGAATTTTGGTGCAAAAAGTTATTTTGTATGAACTTGACAAGTGAAAATTAATTTAAGCTCTTCAGCCAGTCAATAAATTGTACAGTATTCTACACACTAGAACGATAGTTCAGGCAAGGTCTATGAATCCTTGCTAGTTCCTTTCTCTTTCTGCAAGAATCAAAGCCTCACTGGCTTTGTCAGTGCCTCACCTGATTGTAAGAACTAAACATAACCGATCAGAGAACAGAAACAGTATAACACAAGTTATAACCAATTGCAACAGCTAACCAACGCATGAATTTCAAATATTGAGTATCAAATACTTACATTGAAATGTCTGTGATCTATCCACAGAGTTAAAATATAAACTTGCAAAATAAACCACGTAAATACAAATATTGCTTATGTTTGAGGAAATCAGTCTGTCTGCAAACTTTCTGTGAGCAGAAAAATATGCTATAACTTGTCAAGCGCTGCATCCTCACTCTTCTCCCTCCCACTCCCCCAGAGCCTCCTATACACCCGCGAAACAGCTGATTGCGGGGAGGGAGGGGGAAGTTGCTGATCCTCAAGGCTGCTGAGAGGTGGGAGGCGTTGGGGGTGGTGGTGGAGGTGAGCTGATAGGGGGCTGCCAGCCCACCCTGGTTCCAAGCCTGCTCAGCCAAACAACGTTATAAGGAAACATTGCGCAACTATAAATGAGTATGTTCTCTAATAGATCAGGGACATAACAACCGGGACAATGTTAAGTGAGGAGTTACTGTACAGCTGGTAGAAAAAAATGGAACAAGAGTCTCATAATAAATTTCTAAACCTCTTCTGTTTCACAGTGTTTGGAATGGACCAATTGTTTGTTTTTTGCAAGTTTCCACAACATTTTTATCATCAATTTTTTTTAATCAAAATCACAATAAAAACAATGAACATTTTCATTTACTGAAAACATTTTTCTGAAAATAAAAGTGTTCAGTAACAATTTCAAACACAATTTTGACAAAAAATTGAATAAAAAATCACTACAAATGTTACAGAAATTTTACCAAAATTTCAGCTTTTTTAAAGCTTATTTTTCATCAGAAAAAATGTGTGTGCAAATAATTTCAGACAGTTCTACTGACAACACAGCTTCTGCAGGAGCCATGATCCCACTGGCTGGCTGCCTAGTGCTTGAGTGTTAAAAAGTCTCCTTGGGGATGGTGCAGGTGGGGCTCTGTCAGCATTACCTTAGATATCCACACAATTACCAACCTTGTCTTGAAGGGACCATGGTGTGGAGGTTGGCTGCATTTTGAGACTTCCCACTTCCACTCCCAAATGTATGCAGAGCCCAGATCCTAGGGAGCTTTACATTCCATGAAAGGGAACACATGCCATGGAGGTGGCATTCCCATCTTTCTGTACTTCCCATCCCAGAAACTACCAGTCTGGATCTTCTCTGCCCAGCAAAAGGAATGATTGGGTCCCACCTTATTTAGGTTGTCAGCATTTTTTTAACCCTCATATTAATCTCTGTTTTACCTGACCATCCAGGGAGACAGCGACAGTAACCAGTGGTTGGATGACAGCCATCTGCATGGCTGCAATCACAGCGTTCAGCACAGTCCATTCCATATGTGCCATCCTGTCAGAACAAAAAACATAGCTGAAACCACGAGAGCTAAAAAAGAGAGTTAGAGGAGAACAAGTTCTGATCAGTCCTCTCTCAAGCAGCAACAATCTTCCTTTACTGCAGCTTCCTTGCACTGTCCCACTAATGGCCCTAAAACCTGACCTGAAACCTGGAGAGACCTTGAAGGAGGGAGTAATTCAGTTTCCATACTGACTCAGTCCTTGACCTCTCTATTAAGATTGCCAAGAAGGATGCCATTTAGTGATGCCATTTATAATGAACTCAGTAGAAAGTAGAAGTATGGAAGTACAACTTTTAGCTTGCAGTGATACTAGGACTGCATTTTACATATAAATCTTTTATAAATAAGCACAAACAGCCTCACTTTCTTTTTATTAAAATTCCCTTCTTTTGCATTACAGTAAATGCAACCTGACAATGGGAAGGATGCTTACTGATTGCAAAAGGAGATGGGACAATGATGTAAGACAAAGATTATTTTTTAGTGCTGTAGCATTTCTGAGGATTGATGGAAAGCTGGTGTATGATGGATTTGACATAAGGGGTCAAATTCTCCTCTAAATTTGCCCAATGCAATTCAGATGATTTCCATGGGATTCTAATGGAACCCAATTCTAACTGCATTTAGTTTCTGTTAAGTAGGAGAGGGTAAACTGATTTTAGAGACAATTCCCCATCAAGCCAACCCTGGAAACTGCACCAAGGAAAACCACTAGTTCAACCTCCCAGAAGAAAGAAAAGTTTAGCAGTAATGTGCAACTACAGAAAAGGGGGTTGGAACCAAAATGAAATATAAGGCAGAATAGGTAGTATAATCACACTTATGTGCCTGGCACCACCTGCATAAAAGAAAACAAGAAAAGAAAAACACACAGCACTGTTTAAAAAGCTAGTACAGTAGGATAATTTAAATACCAAGGCTACAAATATGGTCATAGTAACATCAGAACTTGAAATGCAGCCTAAATCAAGATTCATCTGCTGTTTCTTGATACTCATGCCTACATTTGTATAGAGTTCCACAGGATCTGGCCATTCAACTACCAGTCTTTCAATTCCAAAACAGAACAACACTGAACTGTACTGCACTGCTCTGCACACGACTCAAGAATAAGTAGTGTCTTACTTATCTCAATAATCCATTTTAATGTAAGGGAGAAGAAGAGATTAAGGGAAGTACTTCCTTTGCATATAATCAGATTTGTGAAGAAAGAAAATCCTCAAATATATTCTGGAAAGGGGGTAATTTATAAGTAAGACATAGCAGAAATAAGACACTGCAAACTCACTTACTTTTGAGTACTAATATGAGCTGTAATTTTAATAAAAAGATATATCCTATGCTCACCAGAACTGGAATGACCAACCTAAGTATACAGCCTGAAATTGTGGCTGAAATAATAAAAATTTTTTTCCCCAGACCACATTGGACACAGGAAAACTAATGAGGTCTAGATTCAAGTTTAATAACTGTTGGAGATATGGGCTAAAAAATAAAACTTCAGTACATATATTATGTCATATGCACTTCCTCTGATCTATGTTTTTTGGGAGAAAGTATTAGTCAGGAGGATCAATTTAATAATGAATGTGGATATTAAAGTGGGCCCAAATAAATAACTTATTTTCTCGTTGACAAAAACATTTCTCACATAATAAAAGCGGAGGGGAAATATTTATGGATGGAAACTCTAATGGATAAATTATGTGTACTTCAAAAATATTCACTTTTCATAATATTAATTTGTTAATTTTCAACTGTGTACTCAACACAGTCCCTGTCCTGAAGATTTTATAATTTAAACAGCAAGCTTAGAGAAGATGATCTCAGTGTAAGTGCAAAACCTTGTCTCTCTCTCTTCAACAGAAGTCCAATAAAAGATATTACCTCACCCACTTTATCTCCCTACGCTTAGAGATAAGACATATGTAAAGACTTACATTCAAATTAGTTTTTTTGTTTATTCTCATGTTACAGAATTTTGAGATGGAAAAAGCATTTGATAAAGGTTAGTATTTGTGGGTGTTGTTTTGCTGAAAATAGTGGACTGCTGTGGTTAGCAGCCTTGAAAGAGCAGCTCTCTCTTAGGGAGCCAATATTGGAAGGTGCTAATGCAAGCCAATGCAAGTTGAGGGCATTCAGCTTTTTGCAGAATCAGATAGACAAGGTAGTTTTAAAGAAATCTGATCCTGTTTTCTAGGAGCTTAATTCATATTCTTGTTGGAAGCATTGTATGTGCTTATATTGTTAGTACCCTATCCGTTTTCTGTTTGTACAGAATGTGTTTTCATTTTAGTATGTTAAGTTATATTATATTGTGTTACTTTGTGGAGAAAATTAATTAAAAGCAAAACAGTGCCCCAAAATTTAACTCCTGATTGCTCCTAGAGCTGCATAATCCGGATGCAATGAAGTAGCACAGGTATGGCTGTCAGACATGTTGTAATCCAGCTGCTCACACCACCACGTCATTGAAAAAAATGGAGCTAAGCAAAACACATATATGTGGAAGTGGCAGGGGTGGGGAATTTACAGGGTTCATGTGCAATTCAGGTAATTCATCTGTAATTGAATTAACCCAAAGCTTCTCTTTATCCATAACTCCACAAGAGAGTCTTCTTCACAAAAAAGTTTTCTTTTCATTGGAAGACAAGATTTCATTGGAAACAAATTTTGGATGATTTTTTTTCATTTCTGAAATGTATTTGAAACAGAAAAAAAGCAGAGAAAAAACAATTATTTAAAAAAGATTCCAATGTTTTCATTCTGAAATTGTGAATTTCCCCCACCACTCCAATATCTGACTGTTTCCCATTTGCCAGTAGTTACATCTTAGCACTTAACAATGTCAAATGTGAACGTGTTACTTTCCCTCTGAAATTAACACTTTAAAAGACAAAGTAACACTTTCACTTTTAACCCTTAAAATTGAAAGTGTTACTTTTAAAAGTGAAACATAGTTTATTTAGCTCCCTTTTTTTGCTCTTTCCCAGCTGAAAAAACTGGGGAACAGTGAGAAAGGTCGATAGGGAACTACTTTACCACATTTTATACATTGCCTGTGAGAAAACTGAAATTTCCCAATGGGAAAATTTCAAAAGGGGATTTTCCTACTAAAATGTTCCTGGGGGAAAATCTGAGTTTTCTAGCCTGCTCTAGAAAAACAATTGTACCAGAAGGAGGGTCTGTAGAAGAAAAAGAGAGATGAGACAAACAGATTTGCAGGTCTCTGGAAGCAAAAAAAAGAAGAAGAAGAAGAAGAAGAAGAAATGGAGATAGAATTGAGGAAGCATAAGGGTGTGGGTCAACAGGCTGGAAGAAATGAGATGCAGTAAAGCTTAATCAAGAGACCACCACCTTTACTAGGCATTCTGACTCACAGTACCCCCAAGTGTCTGACTCACAGTACTCTCAAAGATCTTGAGTAAAACTCTGTTCTATATTGATTATAAAGTTTCCTCTATTAAAACCCAGATTTTTTTGTGGTTCCCTGAGAAATTGCTTAAATATTGGAAGTAGCAGACAAAGCTCTGAAGCAGAGGAAGACAACAAGCTACTACAACAAAAGATTATGTACATCTGGTTGAAGGAGAGAGAAAGATTTTCATTTGGATTTTATTTTAATGATGGAAGACAAACTAACCTAGTTAAACACATTCTTATATTCAGAGTAATTTTTGTTAATTGGAGGTTACATTTTTTTTGTTTACATGCTCATTTTGAAATATCTTCATTGAAATAGTTTGGGTGACTCCTGATTTATACCGTTGTAACTAAGGGCAGAATTTGACTCTAACTAAGCTTGACAAGTTCTGAAACAGTCAGCGAAACATCTGGAGTCAAATTTTCAATATGAAGGCACAAAAAAGTATTGTATATTCATATACGCAGCTGAGGAGCCCATTGTACTCAGTAGAAATACCCTCAGTTGGAAGTTTTGCAGGATCAGGCCACTTATAACAGAAACCCTATAGCTCATCATTGAATGAATTTTAATTACCTGGCAAGTGAGTTCACACTTTTCCCCTCTCCAACCTGGAGCACAGGTACAGGTTCCATCCAAAGCATTGCAAGCCCCTCCATTAAGGCACTGGCAAGTTAAATTACAACCAAGACCCCATGTGCCACTGGGACAGTTTATTGAACAATCCACACCATGCCAACCTGCCACGACAAAAATGAAGTGTCATATTAAACAAAGACATGTTTCTCTTCCTTTGCTGGGAGGTTCCTCTTCAGGAATCTCTCAGTGACACACAGCAGCAAGGATGGCCATGTAGCCTATGAAAGTGTATTAGTCCTCCCAGCTGAGGCCTTGCTCAAGTTCAAACAGAGGTGTCCTTGTGCACCTGTAACAGCTGTGCACAGCACACTTTATAAATTGGTGTCAACATTTGAAAGCAATTAATAGTACATCTGAAGGGAAAACAGGACACCTTGAGAATGCTCACTGAAATGCACTAAACTATTTTGAATTTTGCAAGGGACAGCATAAAAAAAATAATTTATTCCTTAGAAAATATGGTCAGTTCTTCTTAAAAACAAAGTTGCTCATATAGGGTATGTATTTGCTACTTCTTTAGTAGTTTTTCTGATGGGCTCTTTGCAGACTATATTCAGTGCAGACAGAGCTATGGTGCAGTCATAACAGTGATCTTGGCAGAAGAAACCAAGGATAAAAAAAATAGATAAGTGAAAAAGTCATTATGTGAGGTGGGTTTTTCCAAAGACAGATATGAGATGCTTCAGGAGATTCCCCACTTCCTTCTGAATATTTAAAAATAACCCCAGTACAAATTAGAAGATGCCTATAAGTTGATGCTTCAAACAGTGATTAAGTCAGAGAAATGACTCAGGAAGTACACACTGAAGTAAGCAGAAAAGCAGAAAGCTTTTAAAAACATGATACTATACATCTATTGGATATAACAGCCAAGTAGTCATATGCTATCATCGACAGTGACACAAGTTAGGTTTCTATTTCTATACTCTGTTTACAGTAAGCGGAGGTAAAAATAACTGTACTGAATCTAATCAATAAGCTATTCAGAACACATGTTGTCATGAATCTGCCTTGTGCTCTGGATTTCTAACTACAGAACTTAGGGCTTAATTCAGGAAAAAATATTTGTTGCAAATATTGCATTGTAATAATTAAAATATGGAAACACATTTTTCCACAATATTCTTTCCAGGATTTGTGTTCTATCCCTTCATGCCCTACATTTCATCCTGTAATACAAGCATCATTAAAGTAAGCAATTCCATGAAGAATCATATGAAATTTGGAATGTTTCTAGTACATCATATTCCCCAAACACTCTCTGACCCACCCCCCACAAATCTGTCCCACTTCCCCCTTCACAGACTCATCACTGTCTTGCTCCCTGTTCCATTGCCAGAGCTGGGCAACAACATGGTTCTTAATGAAAAAATGTAGAGCAATTTTGGGGAAATAGTACATGTAAATACATGGAATATTTGAAAATGGAGGGTAAAAATCTGATCCCACTGAAATCAATGGGGTTTAACCCAGAGCTCTTCAGAAATACCATAAAGGGATAACACATTGCAAGAGGGGTAGATATGATCCTCACCTTATTTAGCAATTGTGTCCAACACTATTTTTGCTATGACAAGTATTTGTTTAATGCTTAGCAAAACAATTAAATTCAGTTATTTGTTCATCTTAGTATTAAATAAGTTGGGTAAAATTCTACCTTCTGTTCAATTCTCACAAGGCCCAAGCAAATGACCTTTGGGTAGGGGTCTGAGGAAAGCAATATTTCTCCTCCCAATCCAGCCATTTGGCAAAGGGCGGCTGCAAGTCCGAATCTGCCCAATGCCACTATTACAGCACATAGATTATAGTAGTAGATTGGATGCCAGCATACCTGCTACATGGGGGATTTAGGCCTACGAATCCCTGGAGCAGCTAATCAACTAGTCACTTCCCTGCTGATTCTGCCACACCTCCAAATCCCCTTCCTGTGCCTCTAAGAAGTGAGGCACTTTAGAGGAGAGCTCCATGGCACATAGGAGGTGCAGGAGTCCCCTGCTCAGCATTCTGTGGCCTGCCCATTTCCCCTGACCAATCTAGCAGCACAGCCAAGATGGTTCTCCTGCTTTTAAGGTTTTCTCCACCTGCAGATGATAGGGGGACAACCTCAGGCTCTGTGTGTGTAAGAAAATATCCTTACATGTACCTTCACCTTAAATATTCCTTTGGACAGGAACTACATGGAGACATGAGGCAGGGCTGTAGAACCTTGTATGAGAGAGGGAAAATGGAGTTCTTGTCATGCTCCTTTCTATTTGCAGAACACATGGCTGGAGAATTTGCAAACAGTCTGCATCCCTGCCATATACAGGCAAGGTCACACCAACATCTGCTGTGGGAAAAGGTGAGCTGGGGAGCACAGGTGGTACATGGAGGGTTTGCAAGTTATGGCAGGGAGAGAATGCCAAGCAGAGAAGTAGAGGGTTATGAAAGAAAGTGGGATGGGTGATACTGATGGAGGCAGAGCCAGCTGAGTGGGGTCAAAGTGGGGGTGCTGAGGAATGAAGGAGCAGTACCTCGCACTAGCGATGGTGAGGCTGAGAAGGGGAGTAGGGTAAGTGTTGGGATGAAGTCAGAGAATGATTGGAGAACACAGGATTGAGCTGGAAAGGTGTGGGGGAGTCAAGGGGGAGATGATGATTTTGGGGGTATAGAGAGTGGTGCTGAACAGGCAGGAAGAATGTCACGTGTCCACGGTGGGATGGAGAGCTGCAGTGACCTGGAGCTTGCTCAGATTCATGCTGATTTGGAGTGGGAGTTGAAAAGAAGTATACAGTCAAGTAGGGCTGCTGACAAATACACTCACAAGGAAACCTACAGTAACTTATGCTCAGCAGCTCCAGAGAAGAGAGCAGCATTCTAGCTTGGGGTGGGTACCAGTGATCCCCCCGGCATCTACAACTCCAGTGTGACCTGCACAGAGAGCAATGTGAAGGGTGTGTGGATACAAAGCAGAATAGTGGTGGCAAAGGCAAGCTGCCCACAATTGTCTCTGAGAAGATATTTTTCTGTTTGTCACCTTTCTGAACAGTGGAGGGAGCCAGCATTGTTATGGCCTTAGTGCCTGGCTCTTTTTTAGTTTAAGTTTGTGTTTATTTCTTCTTCTCTATTTCAAAAGCTCATTTTGATGTGTATAAATAACTTATACTGATGACTGATTACAGAGATGGGAGACTAATTTGTTAGGCACTCTGACCTGCTTTGCAGGTACAAGAACCATCCACCGGAGAACAGATGGCTTGATTTTTGCAGTTGCACACAGAGGAACAGTTTACTCCATAGGTTCCCGGAGGGCAAGGAGTAGCACAATCAGAATCCTAAAACATACACAAATATATTAAAAAAATATTTGACAAAACATCAACGAGAGTTCAAACAATAAAATATCACCAGCACTTTCTCTAATCCTAGATTTAACTGACTTGTCAACCCCTTTCTGAGAGACTGACTGTTGTTATAGTATTACAAGTATAAGAAAATGTGCAGACCATGTCACATTCTAGGCTGTCATCAGGTCAGCCTGGGTTTACAGGAAATCATTAAGCAAGGCTCTTAATACTCTTTAAATCTACAATAAGTATTTGTTTTACATTAGTTGATGTGGGAGAGCATGTCACATACCTGCCAGCACTTGGGTAAGCCAATATTCAGTACTACTGTACAAAGAAGCAATTTACGAAAGCAGAGTGTAATGTAAAATGGTAATGTAATGGAAAACAATTTGGACATATACAATATTCCAAAAAATATCATTTGATTAAAGTGCTCTTTCTACTATGCACAGTATTACTGATAGAAGAAAAGAAGTACCATAGTATGTCTTCAAGGTTACATTTTTAGTATCATCAAATTTCTATATAAGAACAAACATCTGTGAGAACCACTGAAATCAGGTATCATGATTTGTAGAAATAACTGTATTTATTGTAGATTTTTACTATAAAATAGTTACTTAAATCCACAGATTAGTGCTGCAACAGTCACAGTTCCCCCGATTCCTTTCTGTTGTAGTAGGTATGTATACCTTATTAGCACTTTTCCATTCTCATCACTACATTATTTTTAAGAGATCCAAATGCAATTTTTTTCCTTTATGAGCCTGTCCCACAAGGAGCTAAGCGACTTATGACAAGTGACAAGCTGAATGCTTTGACCTCCCAGTAACCTCACAGGAAGGAGTACACTCAGCATTTCACTGAACGGGCCCTAAGTGAAGGAAGTAAAGGAAAAAAATAAACTGTGAACTTCAGAATTATTTACCTTAAATCCAGGGGCACAGATGCATTTTCCAGTCACACTATCACAGTCAGCACCATTTTGGCAGCTGCAGATCTGTTGACAAGATTCACCATAGAATCCAGGAGAACATGTCTCATTACAGTAGAGTCCAGACCAGCCTGGCTTGCAGGAGCATTCTCCAGACATAGGGTGACAGCTGGCAGAAGAAGATGAAAGGAATAAATAATTTGGGACTAAATATGACACCAAGATCCCAATGTAATTTTTTTCAGAGAACGACATGCTGTTACAGATATGTTGTTTAAAGGACTTCATATATTGTGTATAAAGATATATATTTCCCCCAAACTAAACATACACAACACACACACAATTAGTATAATGTAACATAATACAACATAAAGACACATACTTACAAATCTATGTGTTTATTTAGTTTGAAAAGAAAAGATCTATCTTTTCCATTTCTGTGTCGAAAAAACCCTACATATGCTACAGTTACCTTTCATGACTGTAATTTTCATGACATGAAAAATATTTAAATGGTGAAAAATTCAAGCATCCATCTATGCTTCTTGGTAATTCAGCTGTAACTAAAACATAATTATTTTTCAAATAATGGTTAAAATCAGCATCTTATTTTCTTACAAAGCCCATTTAGAAATATAATCCTTTTGTCTGAGAAAGATGACGAGTTTCTTTAATAAAGCAACATTCAAAGAGTAACATGAATGCTCTTCTCTTTAAAGCTGTGGTTGAGAAGTGTATAACTGGCTTCTTTCCAAGAAATGATACCAAATCACTTTCATAGGGAGAAGTCAGAGGCACTGTCAAACTCAGTGACCTTTTAGAATGTGTCTAGTCTACACTGTACATACCTGGTGATAGACCAGCTGTCTCTACCTGAAACAGCAGTTCCATTGAATGGCCAGTCAGACAGCTGTTGCCTCATAACAAATGGACATCATCAGCTGTGCTAAGATATATGTGCTGGAAAAGTGGACACAATGGAGTACTCTGTGGCACTCTGGCAGACAAAGCACTTGCTTAATTCTCACCAAAGGAAAGCTTCAATATCCAAATCAAATATATTTACAATAGGAAGACTGTTTAAAGATAGTCTTCCGGCACTGATTGAAGTAAAGTCCCCTGAAGTGTGGTGGAAAAAATGTGTCTAAGTCCAGACACATTAAATGACCCATGACATCAAGGAAGTTTTATATGCCTTTAGACTTCCTTCATTTGCTGACTTTGTGTGTGTGTGTGTGTGTGTGTGTGTGTGTGTACACATGAATAAAACTGAGAGATGGTTTTTTTTCCTATTTGAAGGTATGAAAAGTATTTTTGGGTGTTGTAGAATTAATAATCATCATCTTTAAAATAGTCACAAGTGAAAATAGGGAATGTGGCATTAAATGTATACATCTCTTTTTAACAAAGCATGACTAGTTTGTGTAAAACTGCTGTCAATGAGAGGAAAATCTAGCCCCTGATCTTTTCAACTGAGAAGTTTAGAGTGGTCTATTTAGTGCAGGGGTTCTCAAACTGGGGGTCGGGACCCCTCAGGGGGTCGCGAGGCTATTACATGGGAGGTCACGAGCTGTAAACCTCCACCCCAAACCCTGCTTTGCCTCCAGCATTTATAATGGTGTTAAATATATAAAAGTGTTTTTAATTTATAAGGGGGGGTCGCACTCAGAGGCTTGCTATGTGAAAGGGGTCACCAGTACAAAAGTTTGAGAGCCACTGATCTAGTGTGTATGGAAACAGATCAAGCCACACCAACAGGCTATGTGGTGTTTGCTGAGAACAGTCTATATATTAAAATATTAGAACACCAGCAGGTAATTGGGGCTGGAATGGAAATATTCTCAAATGAAATACATATTAACCTCAGGAAACACATGATGTAGAAAGAGAGGCAGAAATGTATTCCCTGAGAAATAAGTTCCCTATACCTAATTGCTTTTCTGTATGCCTCCAGAGGCATTTTGGATCTAATCCCCATATTTCTTATCACTACAGGAGGTATTCAGTGATATGGAAAGCATTCTCAACCTGCCCAACAATAGGCAGCATTGCATGAAGAAATAAGATAAATATATAAAAAATTAAAATTAGGGGTGCAGTGATTTCAGGAAATAAATCCTTTGAGCTGCCCTTTTTTTTTTTTTTTAAAGAGTGTAGCATATGAGGCAGACAGAGGCATTGATATTCTGTGTCCCCCAGTGAGTATTAGTAAGGCATACTCGCACATATATTGATTGACACCAAAATTAGTATTCTGTAATTTGTAATTAGATGTAGGAAGCTGGAGCACTTTTGAAGCTTTTTGATGATTCTCATGCAGTTAGCTTAATTGGCAATAAGATTTGTGTGTTAAGATAGGGAGGTAGAATAGACGTTGAGAGATGCTGCAAGTATTTCTGCTTTTTTTCCTGTTCATTTTTGTTCACAATTTAGGGACATATATGTATATTTCCTATATAAGCACTAAGATAAATTTCAGTATATTTGGTAATAATATAAATAAAGTTATTTAAGTCTGCAGTTTTCTGGCACACTTTATGCCATATATTTATTTCAATTTATAAAATGGTCTGATGAAAAAGCTATGTATATCATAGAATCATAGGATCGGAAGGGACCTTGAGAGGTTACCTAGTCCGGTCCCCTGCACTCATGGCAGAACTAAGTATTATCTAGACCATCCCTGACAGGTGTTTGTCTAACCTGCTCTTAAAAATCTCCAATGATGGAGATTCCACAACTTCCCTAGGCAATTTATATGTACAATTCCACCATAAAAAACCCATCCAGAAATACAAAATGACCTAATGTCAACATTAAAAACACTATCAGCACACATAAACTGAATCCATCCCTCTTCATCTCATCCACTCTTGTCTCAGAAAAAGCATGAGAAAATAGGTATGCTCTGAAGAGCAACATACTGGGGTTGTGTTAAACCTGAGATCATGAATAAGTCCTGAGTCAAGGCCCCACTATTAAGAATGACCTTGGCATGCCAGGTTGAGTGTTCCAGCTGATCTCAACTGCCAGGATGAAACAATGATGAAGCAGAAAGCCCTGACAAGCTTATCAGATAAAAAATAATACAACTTGAACTGCATTCAGAAATTAACTGGAAAACAGGGCACTCTCTGGAGAATAGGTGTAGTTTTCTCCCTGTAAGAATTACCACTAGGTAAGTGAGGAGCTGCATTCTGTATCTTCTAAAGTTTTCAAATGATCATCAGATGCCACCCAAGTAGAGGGACTGCAGCAATCCAACCTCAAAGTGACACAGCACAGGTCCATATCCAAAAGAATTGGCCAAAGGCAGTTCTGTCTTACCAAAGGCAGATGGAAAGTCACTATTTGCTGACTCCTGCCATTTGAACCTCCAGAAGCAACTGAAGGTCTAACCAGCCCCACAGTTTGTGAACCTGAGTAGCAAGGGCAGGCAAACCCCCTAATTAAAAGGGCTAGATATTACATTCACCAATTCTCCAGGTTGTTCCTGTAACCTTCTAGTTTTATTGCTGTCTTATCTAAGTTTAGCCTCAGCCAGCTAGCTCTCATTCATGGAAAATTGATCAATAGCATCATTTGGTCTAAGAGCAGAGAGACGTGCTGCACATCATCTGCATATGGTTGGCACTGCAGCCCAAACTACTTCACATACATATTGATGAGAGGGAGTAGAATAAAACATTCCATGAGAGAGCCCTTGGAGCAGATGGCCGGTCACCCAGTACTACCCTTGGAGCCATCTAGGACAGAAGAGAACAAAGTAACTCAAATACAACTCCATCCCCGCCAGCGTCAGTAGGCATGTCAGCCATATCACGTGGTCAGTATCATTCAAGGCAGCTGATGTATCTAAAAGAATCAGCATGGATGCTTGATCTTTGTTCATCAAAAGCAAGTGCTCTAACCCCTTGGCAATAGAGTCAGTCAGTCTTTCTCTTCTGTTGAAGCTGTTCCACTTGATATAAATAGTTAAATATTCACTGAGCCAGAGCATGGGTGGCTGGTGACCCAGCTTTTGGGGGAGGCTAGCCCCCGGCCTCTCCTGTTCTGCCCCAAGCCCTACCGCTCTCCCTCCGCTCCCACACAGGAGCCCAGAGCACCCTCACCATGGCCAACAGTCCTAGTGCCAGGCAACTACCCCCAACACCAGGCAGTATGGTCCAAGTGCAAGGTGGGTAGTGCAGCCCCAGCACCAGACACCCCAAGCCCAGGACAAAGCGCAGGGAACTGCAAGAGGGAGTCTGGGGGCAGAGCCACACCAGGCTGTTTGGGGAGGCACAGCCTCCCTCAGCCTATGATACCTGTAGCCCATGGGCCAAAGAGAGAGACTGACTCTGTAGCATGATTGTTAGGGCACTCATAAGGGAGATCAAGGAGGGACTTGAACCTGGGTCTCCCACATCCCAGCTCAGTGCCCTAACCACTGGACTATTAGCTATACTGGGGTGTGTTAATAATTCTCTCTTTCTCCAAAATTCCCTCCTGGACCTCAGAGACCTTCCCTCTGAACATTTCCATGAAAAGCTTCCATTTTGACAAAAAATGTTTAATGGAAAAAGTCCCAATCAGCTCTACATAGACATTCCCTGATGTGTTTATGTGAGAGTAAGTTCTTTCCCACCAGGCTGGCATTTAGTCACAGAAGATAGCCAGAAACAACTGTATCATCAAAAGTGGAAGGGAAGTATCCTCAGTGGGGCCTATGTTTTCCCCATTATTATTCATAAGTTATCTGATTGCTACTAGCTGGTGGTCTTAATCACCCCCCAGCACGAAGGAAGAAGAAAAATATAAAAATATCTTGTGAAGCCTGTGAATTTTTGCTTCCCTCCCCTCACTTTTCTCTACTCAACTTTAACATGCACTTACAGACACACATGTTCCCACACCCACAACAGTGCTAAGTTCCATTTGATTTGTCATACAGAGGGGAAAATGTTCAAAAAAAGATCAGCCATATGCTGCTGTTTACATTTGAACATTTGTGATTTGATTTGACCACAAGCTGTCTTCCAGAGGTATAAATGAAGGAACAGCTGTGTTGAACACAAATCAGAAGTAATCCTTGAAATATCAGAAATGCTATACAATGCAATACTTTTCTGTCAAACTAAACTTCTACAGTAGTCTTCAATTAAAATTGCAGAAAACTGGCTAACCATAATTTATACACATAGTGCTATGAGGGCCAAATACTGCTGTTTTGAGTGCCAGACAAGGTGCAGAGAAATGGGGAGGGATTATAGTTTTTCTTACTCCTAAATTCTCTCCCCAATCCATAATTTACTGGATTTCACATCCTGTCCAAACAGTATTGTTTCAAATCACATTTCAAGTAGATGGGATAAACAGAAGTACAAGTACACCAACATACAAATACGTAAGTGAAATATGAGAGAAATGCAGCCCTCTCTTACATGGCTTGTCAACAGAAGTTATGCTGAACAATTTAAACAATCCAAGAATTTATTTCTCACAATGCCCTCTAACAGGATCACACAAACAGAGATATTCAAAAGGAGATTTTTTCATTAATGTCCCAGTGCATTTTAATGTTACTTCTAAATTCTGAATAAAGGCTTTATTTTTATGTATAAAAAAATGTGCATCTCAGATACAAAACACAACATTGTTCTGTGTAAGAGTACATCATTTCTGCAAATAGTTTTAACACAGCAATCCGTGACAGCAAAACATTTGGCATATGTACACAAAACTTATCTGACATATTGTGTATTATTAATGGAATTATGTGTGAATGAATGCAAAATTATTGGAGTCTTTCATATAGCCAGGTGTGCTTTATAAGAAGATAAGCCTTGTCATGAGAATTATATTTTGATTGTATGTTATCTTGTCTTATCTCCCATCCCTTCCCTAGTATCCCAAAGGGATTATCTCAGAATTTCTGGTTTATAGATTTTTATTACAACATGTTAAGGCTTTGTGGGTCCCATAGATACATACACAATGCAAAAATATTTGGCTCATGATTGCCTGAAAAGAGTCACGTGATGAGTTAGTAAGTTTCTATTGTTTAGCTTCTCTGAGTCAATACTACAGAGGTATGGAGAAATGTAAATCAATTAGATTGCTTATACAAATAATTTTATTCAATTTCTTGGCATCAAACTTCACCTTTTGTCAAATGTTAGATTAAATGAAAAAGTTACACTTTTGAAATTTATAGTCATAATGGTGAGAATTCCAGATATATCTCATTAAAACAATCAGCATGCTTCCTCCCCACAATATATATATTGGGTCTGATTCTCCTCTCACATCAGTTTTGTGTATACGGGATGGTGTACTTCCATTTACTTGATTGGAGATACTCTTAATTAATAGTACCCCAGTGTAAGTGAAAGGAGAAGCAGGTCTATTGATCTCATATGGTGAAAAATGTAAAGATTTATTTTTATATGTGGTAAATTTAGACAAAGGCCAAGACCAGGTCAATATTTATCTCGTGTCAATGAATCTTGATATTCATCTTAAAATCTGATTATCAATTGCTATTTAAGGACATCAAATAAAGCTGTAAGCCAATATATCTATATCTATATCTATGCAGTTCTTGCTCTGCTTGTTATTGTGTTTCTTGCTATGATTATAAAAACATTAAATAGTCTCTCTGTCTAAGCTTTGTGGCTCTTAGCTGATTCACTTTTCCTGGAAACCTAAGGAACTTATTTCCTTATAATTTACATTCTTGGTTAAATGTTCCACCTGGAGAAAATCTGCTAAAAGATATAACAACATACCTGTGAGTGTTCTGCAAGTGACAGGGGCATTTTTTGTCACACTTGAGACCATAGACTCCCTCAGAACAAAGCCTTGTTTCACAGTGTTCTCCCGTATATCCTGGATCACAGAGACACGCACCACTAATATGATAGCATTTCCCTCCATTCATGCACTGACAGGTCTTTGCACATTGCACTCCATAAGTCCCCACTGGACATTCATCCTGGCATCTGTGAAAGTCAGAAAAAATTAGGTTTACTTGCCTTAAATTTAAAACATTTTTGGAGAATCAATGTAAAAATGTATTTTAGTTTCTGAAGAGTTTTCTCTGGACAGAATTCTTAAAATCATTATAGGTGGAGCTAGTAATTTTGCTTCTATTTAAGGTTGCCTAATACTTTGCACTATAAGCTACTGTTTTCAACTGCTTATAACTTTGCCAAATTTTAACTTTTATATGCTTATCAGCCTCAGACTAAATGTTTTTTGGAAAGTTTCAGCAATAAAATTTCATTCGTTTCTGAGTACAAAAGTTAGGGGAAATAGTTTTTCCAATGTTAAATATGTCTCTCTCTCTCACACACACACACCAACCACCTCTATTAATGGCTGGTTCACACAGTAGGACAACCTACTGACACTCATAGTTCCTTCTTTAGCTCAAGTAGTCATTTGTGCTATGATCTAAAACTCCTGACTTTGGACCCAGCTGATAACCATGAGGGCTGCAGACTGGGAATGTAAATATAGTTCCACATGGTTTTTCAGTTTGTTTTTTTAAAAATCCTAGAAATGACATTAAAAAACATATGTTAGAAGAAGATTGAGTGGGATTCTGGGCTCAAACAGACACAGGGTAGAACTGGCAGCCTGAGAAAAGGGGAGATATGATAGCTTTAAGCCACCTTTGTGTGTCCACGGATCCTGGGCTACTCCAGTGGCTAGCGAGACCCCCAACAGGCCTGTCTAAATTACAACAGGCTTCCTGGGTTTCCCTAAGGACTGCTGCACTGCCTGGTATTTCTGCACTCTGCCCACACACACACATTACACCAGGACTTGTGAAGAGGTCCTTGGAAGGCAGCCACACAGCTGTCTTCCACAGTGCTTGCATCAGAGGAAATGCACACCCAGCTGAATATGGGTCTTTGGGGGGCCCTATATGCCACTCTGGCCCTTTTGTGCAGAATAAAGAGGCCAGAGCAAGGATCTCACCCATTATGGTTGCAATGTCAAACACTCAAAAGTTAAGAAACGTAAATGGCAAAGCAAAGGTCAGTTCATCCCCAGTGTAAGTATGCATTATGATACTGACTTTAGTTACACAGTCACACAGTATTTGTTCTATAGGAACCCTGCCTCATTTAGTGCACAGGATGGACAATGAATAATCAGTAAGTTGCAAGAAGAGAAAGCCTGGTCTCTTGTGTTTAATGCTTCTGTACTGGGATTTTGGAGATCTGGATTCCTCCTTTGCTCTGTCCCAGGTTTCCTATGTGAAGACGGGCAAGACTATCTTAATGTACAAATGGGTCAAACTAAATTTTCACAAGCATTTCCTAATTTTTGAGCACTTGACTTTCCTATTTACTTTTAATATAGTTTTTTGTATTAAATATGAATAATAAACACATTTGCCATCCTTAGTAGTGAAGCAATTTGGAATTACCTGTATAGAAGTGATTGTGAACATGATTCAATATTGTCAAAATATGGGAGTACAGCTCTATCTTTAGAAGTAGGCTTGACATCCTAACTCTAAATAAGCCTTAAGACTTATTGCTCCTAAAGCATGGTGAAGTTTTAGTAAATAGATAGTATTTCTCCTTGGGTTTTAGCTGCGGAAACTGTTGCCAGTCAGTCACCAGAAATCCTAATTCTGCTTTAAACAAATTCAACATGTTGATGAAGGGGATGATTCTGTCCCCTAGCAGGAAAGAGATTACCAAATGGCAAGCAATTGCAAAAAATGTTATTTTCTCTAGTGGAGAAAGGCTGAAAAGGAGAAGAATTAATCATTTCTCTCAAGAAGGAACTTATACTAACTAAGACCTCAGGTTGAGTTTCTTCCTGAATGGTTTAGCTAGATACTGAGGAGAGAGATGTAGTTTCCTGGAGCATGGTATGCAATATTTGGAGAGAGAGAAAAATTCCTCTAGGGACTCAAGTGAAGTCACGTAAATGGGAAGTCAGTGTAGCAGGCATCTTTCATGCTGCCAAGTCACTAACAAATACTGTGCTAGGGATCTGGGTCAGTGTTTCATTTTAAAGAAATTGTCAGCCTAGCAAAGGAAAAAGATAAAAAATTCAATTGTATTAAAAATAAACATTCAAAAGAAAAAACCCAACAAGGTCTGTAAATCTGTGCAAAAGAATGTTTAATAATAGATTAGTATAAATGCAAAGAGATTGGTGGAGGCTGTACTTTCTATTTAAATCAACAATTAAGCTGTAAAAACCCATCTGTACAGAGTTGTCCTGTTACTATAGGACTTGTCACCCAAACACCTGTTAACTACTTTTTAAAATGGGTTTGCACTGGATGTGTTACATGTTTTTTAATTATTTTGAAGATTGTGAGGGAACGGAGCCATCTCAGTTTGTGAGTTGAAATGATCCATTATGCAAATATGAGGATAGAAAAAGATTTAGTCACACTTTCACAGCATTCATTGTGACCCTCTCTTAGTTCCCCCACTGCTGTTGTGTTTCATTGAATATGAAGCAATTTGCTCTTTAAAAACAAAACAGGGCAGATTTCTAAAGTCTCTCTTATGAATTCTGTAGCCATTGGGATTTGTGAAGTGCAATTGGACAGGATTTAACAACTTACTCCCACAAGAACACAAAGGGGCTGAACTTGTGGGGTGATTTCAGTGAGAATTAGAGGCATTCAGCACCCCTTGCAGGATCAGGCCCTGAAAGATGAATAAGGCTTGCATAAAGGTTGTTATTTTTCCTGTGACAGCTGACATAAGAATAAAGCAAAAAGTCTATGCGCAACAGTGTTTGCTCTTTAGAACATAAGCTGGTTGTAAGGAGATAATTGAAGGTTAGGGGGAAAAAATCTGAGTTAAGACCAGCTGCTACAGATGTTTTCCACACAACACTAGTGCTCTACCAACATATGATAAAATACATATGGAGACCACTAACAGTTCCCTGTAATTCAGTCACATTAACTTTTCTAGGTTTCCGTTACGTACAACACTGAACCCACATTAAAACCTGGGGAAATTACTCATCACCAGTAATTCTGTTTGTCAGACTCCCTCATCTCCTCCCTTCCTGCAGATGATTCCAGACAATCACAATTATGCCAGGAAGCAAGAGAGTAGGCAAAGAATATTGACAGGTTGGAGTAGCATGGAGCTGCCTATATATATCCTTTGCCTTTCATTATTCTTTGCCTTCTGGCTTCTAGGTATACAGCACCTAATGCTGACAGCTCGGAATCTTCTACAAGATGAAATACAAGGTGGGTGAATAAAATCCTACCTTTCAAGGATCCAAGCAGCACAAAATATGGCACTTGGTATGATTTCAATTCAGTCTGAAATAGAAAACTACAAGTATTGTGTGACAGAGTAGCCCCCACCTCCAGTGTCCTCCAGTGTCAGGCCATGGCACCATGTACCCCCGAAATTGGAGACTAGGTTTGAAATTGCAATGTATCCTCTCCTGAGTCAATTTTAGAGCCTGAGGGCTGGAATAGCAACAGTAGCGCCTTTACAACCCACATGTAGAGGTTTCCAGTCACTAGATCCACATAGCCTCAGACTTTTCTTCTGGCCTCCCCAAAACTACGTCCTATGCCTTTCCCAGTTTGGAACAAGAGAGAGCCCCCTGTGCACAGTAGCTTTGAATCTGGACATTCTCTGCTTCAAACACGTCTCTTGGAACGGCACCAGGAATAATTTCAATCTTCACGACTGTGCCTTAAACACAGCACTGACCCCAAAGTAAAGAGTTTGTAAATACCAAAACTCCTTCCAATTCCAACTCAGAAAGAGCAGTTTGGGCCAATCATTTTTTATGTCATTAAGACAAACCTGACTTTCCATCTGAGGGGAAATAATTAAACTGGTTTTTAATTAACCCTAATGTTAAAAGTATCCCTGAATGGACTTCCGAAATGAAATCAAAATTAGGATTAATCCCAGCAGGGAAACTACCTAAGGGACCAAAGAGGTTTGTGCTAAAACATAGAAACCACTGTAACATGCAAACCTTTTTCATGGCTCCAGCCATAGACAAGGACTATTAGTTATTCATTTTATAGTAGTGCCTAGAGAGGACCCCTTGCGCTAAGGGACTGTACAGACTTACAGTAGGAGGCAGACCCTGTCCTGAAGAGATTACAGTCTAAACAGATGAGACAAATGGAGAGAGAGAAAACTGGTACAGAGAACATCCATAGATTCAACGGTAATTGGGAGTGGGCACAAAACAACAACCCACTTGGCTACTCCTTTTCACACATACATGTCAGAGGAGGCTGTGGGATAACACAGAAGATAGTAAAAAATAATGAGCATTTTTTTCTTTTGCTTCATTTATGTAGCAGCACCATAAAGACACAAAGTCAATTTCTGATCAAGGGATTTCTTTTCTAAAGCCTCCATCAGACTTTCTTTCATGTAGTTTTTGAGGAAAAATTAACAGCTTTTTCCAAGAGTAAAAATCTGTTGAATTTTTTACACATTTTGTAAAAAGACATTAGTTATTTTGAAGATGATTCTGTACATCTTGCTATCTAGCACAAATACTGAAAAGCCAGTTTCCTGTTTGATCATTCTAAAACATATAACCCATTTTCCTGATGTACTTTTTAATAGACATTTCACTTGGGGGTTTTTAGAGAGAATATATGATCTCAGCTTAATGTTTTCAGTTTGTGCTTCTCTGTGTTTTATGACTGAACTGTTAAAATCAGAATGACACCACCACCTTATTAAAAGCCCTAAAGATTTTATGATGCATTTCACAGCAGGCTGACCTTCCTACTGAACAGGTTACCATGCACAGAGCCAGGATGTGGAGTGTTTCACAGCTTTACATGCCAGAGAAAATCAGAAAATATTTATTGATACAGGCCCTATACAAATTATACGATGTATTGACTGGTGCATACAAATGTACACAGAGAAACAGAAAGACAGATAGATAAATAGGGCCAAATGCTGAAATCCTTACTCAGCCCACACTGACACTCAAATCATGAGATGTGTTATGCACCCATGGGAGTTCCAGGTGCACAGCACCTTCCAGGATTTGGCTAAATGAGAGATTTAGCTTGAGAACTCGAAGATTTGGCCTAGAGCTAATACTGTTTTTCTGCCTATTGAAGAAGGAACCAATTCTCTTCCCCAGTACATGAAAAAATAGTCTCCTTGGAGATATTACAATATCTTTGTATGATTGACAGACTCTGCTTACAAATGGGGCACTTCAGAGCAGAAGAGAGGTTCTTAACAGAGGTAAGTGGGGGAAACATGTTCAGCTCCTGCCCGCCCTGTGCCTAGCTCAAGCCAGCGCTCTTAGTCCCTCAGTTTCATGAGCGCTGATGGTGGGATGTTCAAAAATGCTCAGTGCTGACCTAATGCTTCTGCTGACATTAATAGAAGAGTCATTAGGACAATGCTGGGAGAAAATCCCACCTACATGTTTACTCACTGGGGTTGTGCAAAAAAAGTTAAAGGAGAAATTTTGCAAAATGGTGATCAAGAAATCCAACAAAATTAGACCAAATTTCACACAGCAATTTTTTTAAAATTGCATTCTCATCAAAATATTTGTTTAGGAAAGAACCTCTTCCATCCTCTACTGAAGACTGGTATCAATGAATACCTAGTGGGCTGTGTTCAGAAATGATGGCTAAGGTGGCATAAACTGGACTCCCTGGAATTTAATTAGATCTCATTACACTCACTTAGACTCTATAAAAAATACTAACAGACATTTGCTGGTGTATAAGTGAGCCTGAAGTTATAAATTGATATAGGGAGTAGTCCAACACCTGTTCACACCATCCTGTTAGCTGCTAGTAGGAACACAGAACACAACAAGTACTTCCCGCCATGGCTGGTCGACTGGTGTGGAGTAGCCAATGGGGCCATGGCCTTCTGACCCATCCATACCACAGAGAGATAAGTAGCACCCTAGCAGGGAATAGGCCCAGCATGTTGGTAAGCACAGGGACTACAACTATGCCTGGACCCTATGCAGGAGGGCAAAAGATGAAAGGCTCTTTGTACCTTAAACTTCTGCAAGGGATAGACACAGTGTGGCCTATAATTGTTTCTGATTTGTAAGGTCAAATTACAGCAAGACTTGAATCTCAAATGAGAAAAATAGAAGCCACAACTGTCTTTAGAAACACATGTGTGCAGCATGGAGATTCTCGCGTATATCGTCCTGTCTCTCATGAAAGTGGTTTGTGCTTTCATTCTGATTTGCCTGTGTCTGTTTAAATACATGTAACACAATCTCCAATGTTTCTTCACAGAGGCAAACATTTAATTTTGGCAACACTAATAGCTCTGAATTGGCTGTTTTTCTTCTTTGGGGTTGTTTATGGTTGGTTGGGTTATCCCCACATCCTGTGGATGCCTGCACTGGAATTGCATGTGGAATGTGGTGATGGTACCTATCATTGTTGGCAGAGATACTACGGACTAACCCCAGTGATTAAGTTACTGTGGACTTCAGCAACTGGGTTGTGTACTGTTTAAAAGGTATGCAGGAAGGTGCTTCTTTCAGAACTTTCTACCCCTCTATAAGGGAAAAATGTTGTTATTTTCACTTTTGCTATGAAACACATTTGATGGACATTTTAACTGCAGCTAGGCAATGAAAAAGATTAATTTCTTCTTTTGAATTAAAATGCTTTGAAAAGAAGACAGCTGGTAGCCCAGTTCAGAGACCAAATGGATCAGCGCTTCTTCAGTGACCTCATCCTATAGCCACCATTGATCCATCTCACCCCATTATTGGTTCTCAAACTATCTCATTCTGCAGACCCCACAGCAAGGGGCCTGTATATTACTGGAGGTACACTGGGCACAGTATGAGAGTCCTTAAACTAAACCATTTCTCATAGGGACTAAAACATCTTTCAAGAATTGAACTGCCACCTTTACTTTTGATTCATTATCATTTAGGTGACATAACTGACAAATCTATAAAACACTTTGAATTGTATCACTGATTATATGCTTCCACCTGCTTCCTAGTTTTTCCTTTTGCTGTAAAATCCTTGGTACAATTTGGTAGAAGTGAGTTTTACTTACCGTTCCCCTGTATAACCTGGACTGCAGTGACATTGCCCTGTTGCTGAGTCACATGTCCCTCCATTGTGGCATTGACACTCCTGGGAGCAGTTCTTTCCATAACGACCCTCTGGACAAGGCTGACCACAGACTGTGCCCTGTTTACAAACAGAATCCAAATGTTAGGCTTGGGACTGCAGCTGTGTGGAGAAGAAGAGAAGGGGCTTGGAAAGAAGTGAGGAGATTAATGGGATCTTGTATCAGACTGCTTATGCTCTTCTAGAAAATGCCAGATTCATTTTTAGCCTTAAACACAGAGTATGTTTTGTCAAAATGAAAAAAGTAATGCAACATTTTTGTTTTGGTCAAAAAATGAGAACCAAAAAAAAGTTCATTTGGGTTTTCACCACTCTTTTCAAGTAGAAAAGGAGAGGAGGGGACAAAAAACTAAAAAACGTTTCAATTTTCATATTATTGTAAAATTCTATGAAATATTCCAAAGAAAGCCAAATTTTTTAATTTTGTGTGAAGTTTTTCGCAGAAAATATATTAGCATTTTCTGAGTAGCTTTAACTAAAAACAAAACACAGCAAGAGCAATAGACATCAGTAGGGAAAGAAGACTGAGGGTAACAGCAATAAGATCACATGGTACATGTGTACAGTTGGATGGTTTGGAATCTAAACTCTAAATGTTTCCCTTTTAATTATTTAAAAATTCCCTGTCACATCATTTTAACTCCCTTTCCACTGCCTGCCAGAAATGGTCACCCGGGGCTCACTGCCTATTATTTTATATATTATTTGTTTTGTTTGTTTGCCCCCTTACTATATATAGACAATCTCCAACCACTCTGGTATCTAGCATGATTAAATTTGTTGGTTGTTGGATATAAACTGTTGAAACAATGGTCTCCGTCCTTCTATAGCATTCGCTTCCCCATGTGGGGCTGGGAAACCAGTGGAGCCTCTCATGTTTGCCCTTGTGGTAGGAATGGGTCCTTGCTGGTGTGAGGTGCAAAGGGATAGAAAGTCTATTGATCAGTTATGAAGCGGATGTTCTGCTGTCACTGTATTCCTGGGCTATGAAGGTGCCACCAGAACCTGTCCATTACCTACTTTTCTTTTAAGAGGGTAGCATCATATATTTGGAAACACATGTGAAGGCCACCATAGGAGTATTTAATGGTGCTGCTGTTCAAAATGTAACAGTTATATCAAATTATATCTACAAGGACATGACTTCTGATCAAGATCCAAAAGATGCTGTTTGCATGCCTGCAGAAAGCACATTTTCCTTTTCCCACTCTTTGAAAAGGTTAACAAGGCAGTCCAGAATTTATATTTGATTTTGATCCCTTGTGGTGGTACCATGTCCTAAAATACATTTCCTTTTGTTCCTGGCTTCAGTCACACTGTCTTTGCTTTTCCAATTAAACTTTCTCCTGAAGTTGCCTGAAATCCACAAACATGGAAATTTACCCAGTTTATATTTATTTTAGAAAGCAGCTTTACCATCCATCCAGGTGGGCAGGCACATTCCCCAGTCACATGGTGACACACTCCTCCATTCTGGCATGGACATCTTTCTTCACACTGTGGCCCATGTTTGCCGGGGGGACAAAGATCCTCACAGCTAAACAATTGGTGCATAATGAGTATAATTGTTATTTATATGCAAAGTTCAGTCTCTCCCCCCTCTTAGGCAAGCACTCAGAAATAATGGGAAATAACCTTTATGGGATCAATGACATGAACATATGGAAATAAAATTAGCAATTAAAAAATTGTAAGTGTATGCATCTTTCCTTAAAGATATTTCTTTCTAGAAAAAACAAGTTTGGTCTTGGTATGGACAAAGATTAAAACTCTCTGCTAGAAGGATTAACCCAATCAAGTGCATTTTTCTATGCTTAATTTTCCACTACAGGGCCAATCTCTGTTGGCTGAATTTTATAAAACTTGGACAGAATTTGGACCATATTTTATGGGCCAAACTCATTCCTGCAGGTACAGGGATTGCAATTTGTTGTCCCTTTTGCCTTCCAAGAGGCAGCTGCTTTGGCAGCAGTGTTCACCTTCTAAGCTGGGCATAGGGAGCAGCTCTATTTAGCAGCCAAGACTTTACATGAACTTCACTAGCAGAGACTCTTTAGGGAAAGCTCTGAATCAGGACACTGTTGTCTTGCATGGCCTTGCTTCCTCTTGGGCCAGTCCTGTTCCCTTATAGACTGTGCCAGCTAGTTTTCTACCAGGAGTTTGTGCATGCAAACAGAGTGCTGCCCATCCAACTATCTATTGCGTGTGTTTAAATACTCATTCATATGCCCCCCAAAATGTGAGCATATGTACAGAGAATGGTTTGAAAATTTGGGCTTAATCCTTAAAATTCAACCCCCAAATCTTAAACTGTTGACTGCTACCTAATGCAGCCAGGACATTAACACTCAAATTATGGGATGCATCTGCCCTGTCCCGATATTCCATTGCAAGAAGTAGGCTGGAGATGAAGTGGTTAATTTAAACACAAATCTAAAAGCTGAAGTCAATTCTCAAACTTATACTAAAACCTAAATGTAAACCATACTACTCATTAGTGAAGATTCATAACCTCAGGAATGCTTTTGTACAAAGTTGCTGGTGCTACCAGTGCAACAGCTGTACCTTACCAAGAGCTTTTGCTTTAGCATTTTAATAACATTCATTGATAAGTATACAGAGGGACTTATAATCAGATATAAGTATTGGTAAGTTTTAAAAGAAGCACTTGCAGCATAATGTTCACATAGGTTACTAAATACTAAATATTTTACCCTGGGATTAGTGCCATGCCAAACCCGCCTTCCCAACAGTAAATAATATACCCTCTGCTTACAAAGCACCAGTATATCCAGGAGGGCATCTGCATTCTCCAGTCACATGATCACAGGTGGCTCCATTTTGACACTGACATTTTTGGTGGCAATCATTTCCATATGTTCCCTGGTCACAGCGTTCCTCACAGCGCCAGCCCTTGAAACCAGAAGCACAGTGGCAGGCTCCAGTGATGGGATTACATAAGGCTCCATTTTTGCACTGGCAGCGACTACTGCAGTGGGGTCCCCAGTGGTCACTATCACATGCTGAGGAAGTGGAAAGAAAATGTCATAGCACTTCTATAAGCATGCATGGTGCAGTGCAGAAGACATGATGATTCAGAGATATCAAGATGGCTTTTTTTATGACACAGAAATGGTAGTGGTATCCTTGTAGAGACACCCTTGGCTCTCCTGGGTCTTTAAGTGTCTTGATAGCCAGATAGGACTTAATTTCCTGTTTACAAGTATATGCCTTAATCTGCATTTAAAATAAACTGAAACTTCGTCTACAGTGAAATAAAGGTAAGTTCCAAATTCCTTCAATGCATTACGATGTGAAACTGAAATTATGATGATAGTGAATCATTAGTTACATGGTCAAAGGGTCATATTCTCCATCTGGCTACTTACTTCAGTGGAGTTGTATGAGTATAAACGAGAGCAAAATTTAGCCCATAATCTGACTTTGGAGCCATAAACATATACCAGAATCCCACAATGAAGTTATTCTATGTAAAGATGAATTCATTATAAGAGGATCACACTGCATAGCAATTTTTTAAAAGCGAAACTTCCAACTAGTTTACATACTTACAGCTATTTCCTTTCATGTTTTACAATACTATTGGTTGACAGTGCTGTAAGCAATGTAATAAACATTCCATCAAACAACAGAAACTAACTGTTATTTGGTTAAACAGTATGGTGATCTATACCACAGACAGTAAGGCTAACGTTTAATATTTTGAGTTAACTCAATTTGTTTTTATAATCATTCTACTATGTATTTTTGTTTTCTACATTCTACTCCATCAGTAGTAATGATAGTAAACCCTACTCAGAATCTTTTGTTTTCTCACCTTCAAAAGAAATCTTTAACAGTAAGAAAAGATTTGGTTAAAATGAGAAATAGGAGTTTTCAATAACAAACCAGAAGATAAAGGTCACCTACAGTTCACCAGAAATGTGCTAATCATAAAGGTCAAAGGATCTGCTTTTAATTTTTATGTTCTGCTGATAACAATAGTGCAGTGGTGAAATCTCAGTTGCAATCACTGGATGCCCTTAATGACTGACCACCATTGTTCACTCAGTCTTCTCCTGGGGCAGAGCAGCCAAGCAGAGAACAGACCTACTTTCTTAGAGCGAGACAAAAGAACTCAGGACATCTCCTTGGGGTAAGAATTGCTCTGCTATAGGAACTGATCACTCAGACTACACAAATAAACAGGATTAGGGTCCTTTAAGGATTTTTTTCCTTCTGTATGACTTGTGTCCTGGTTAATTCCTAAGAGCTATGGCATGCTTTGAAGTGACAGTTTCCTCTCAAACAGTATTTTCCTAAAAGGTCACTGGAACATGCTTTCCACAATGTAGCTATTGTTTATGTACACATACTGTGGCTATATATATATATATATAAAAATGGAGTAAACCAAACATGTAGTAACTGCATCTCTTTCATTTCTTCATTCTTGTCCCCTCTCTTCCTCATTTAGCTATTTAAACATTCATTCTTATGTGCTGGACTATCTGTACAGTGCACAATGTATTTCACAGAAGATGTATGTCTTCCCTCGTTATAGCTCACAGATAAGCCCAGGCCTGGCAACACAATATTTTGAAAATGTCAAGATGGAGGAAAAGTAATCCTCATGCTGAATCAGTCCTCAACTTCTCCTCAGGAAACCAACTGTTCTGACAGGTATGTATGTGTGCAGTGGATTTGTGAGACAGACAGATGTTCTCTCGGGACTGTATGGAGGCCACCAAAATCATTTTCTTTCACACCCCATCATGGATTCATATTACAGTCCCACTCCTGCTTCCAATTGAAAAGGACAATTCAGCCATTCCTGATAGAGAAATTAAAAATAAACTTGAACGTTTTGGAATGTTTGAAAAACCCTCTGTGAAGAACTGAAGGATTTAAAATTACCATCAGACAGCAGCTCTTTCAAATAAAATAAAATGAGCCATATGCATCCCCCTGGTGGAGTTACATCAGGGTGAACTTGGCCTAACCTTTCTTAATATATAAAAAGCACCACTAGGCAAAAAGAAATTTATTTTTGGCTTACAGTTTGCAGCTTGTATTATTTTACCAATTGCTGGAAGTGGGATATTTGATGCAATCCACCAACATTCACACAGAGGTTTGGAGAGAGAGTTTAATGAGTCTCAAAGACATGCAGACAGTCTTTGCTACTGTATACCTGCCACAGTAACAGTACCAGACAATATGCACAATGGCAGGATTACCACAAACTGTATCATTTGTGAAGCATTGCAGGCCTTCTGCTCCATCATAATGCATTTTAACAGCTACATCATCAGACTGTCCTCTTAGGTTGTTACTGTCCCTTAGAGATCTACTGAAGTTAGAGATGAACATAGTGCATCTCTAAACTTGAACTTTTCTAGACTATTTTACTGTAAGAGGCATGTGCTGCACATTGTATGAAATTTTATTGGTTTCCTGGTGTGCTTTTCTCATTTTGTTTGCATGGGGCCTATTAAAATAAAAACACTAGTGCTCACGCTTCAGTTTTCCAGTCTCATGGTCACCCTCTGTAGAGAAGGGTGAGAGAGTGGGAAACAAATATTGACTACCTAGTTATTTCACTATAGCATAATGCCAGAGTATTTTACCAGAACAATTACTGCTGTAAGGTAGTCTATTACACTAGGTCTGTCACTAGCCTACTCTCTAACTGTGAGTTATGGGCACCACTTCAGAGAAAGCTGAATGATTAATGGGATTAAATAATATTCTTGCACAAGATAGATAAATTGCATACTTTTCTTCTGTATATCACTCTAATCAATAAGGTCTCTCATAGGAAATTAAAGTGATTTATCAGAAACAGATACTTAAATTACAATACACAAAACAAATATGGGCAAAGGGAAGGGGTAGAAATGCTTCCTGTAAAGAGATTTGTTTATTTTTAAATTATCTTTGGAGGCTAAACTTACCAAATATTACATCAGCCTATTTCTACTTCTGCCTCATATTCAAAAACTAAGACAGGCTGGAAGTCACACAGCTGTTAATCTGGTAAAAAGAGTACTCTTTGAATTAATGAGTATCCTCAGGTTACAAACTGTCAGCTAGAGTTCAATCAGAATAGCTACTATAACAACTGTCCTTACTACTCCAAGGTCACACACACACACACAGACAAACACACAGGGGCAGAAGAAAGTGTCAGCTAGAGACTTCTACCAAACTGAATTAGGGTAGTAAGTCATCTTTCACAATGTAGGGCATAAGGGAGGGGAAAGAGTACCACACAGTAAAAAGAAATAAAAGTCCCATATTCAGAACTGTTTCAGCAGAAAATAATAAGACTCAGCACTAACAATTCAGGGAATTGATTTGAGTCCTATACCAAAGCAACTCAGAATCTATGCACCAATGACTGCTCTCTCAATGGGTCATCATGTTCATGAGCCTCAAGAACTAAGTTTTGAGATGTGTAGTGTGAATGGTAAAAACTTGTTTCTTTAATGTGATTATATTAATGTATTATCATGGACCTCACCAATCAGTAGCTGATGTTGACAATAGCGATGTTCTATTTGCAAAGTATTTTCATCATTATTCCTAGTAGCTAGAGAACGTTTATTCCTTATTGGGTGAAATCCTAGCTTCACTGAAATCAATGGCAAAACTCCCACTGATTTCAGTGGGGCCAGGAGTTAATCCCTGGATTTATAAATAATGAAACAATATTTTTCAAAATATTCTGGAACAGATCTTCACTGTCATAGCTCCATTGACTTCAATGGAGTAATCACAATTTGCACCAACAGAAGATTTGCCCCACCATATCCATATTGCATATATTTGGTCCAATCTGATCTCAGTTTCAAGGGCACAGCCTCTTCAAAATACCAAACACCATTCCTGCACACACTATATGCAACCTCAGTTTTCTCAATTTTAAATAAAACAAAGTTTTCCAGAGTTACTGTTCAAAGTCAACTCTTTTGTGGGAGTCATAGGGATCTTATATCCTACATCTCACGCTGTGGGAAGAAACTCAGAGAAATGTTTGCCAAAAACTGCATAGTAGACTTTTTTGCAAAGAAAAATATTTGGTGCCACAGTTTGTTCATCTGAGAATAATATCTTTTTAGTCCCCTACTGTATGTCCTCTGTACATCACACAATGTTACAAATATAGGACAGCAAACATTCCTCTCAAAAGGCTCTCAGTAAAAGCGAAGGCATGCCTTTGGGAATAAGGGCATTATATTATATAAACCCTCATTTAAAATGCATCAGTATGATATGGAACCCTAAGACAATATAAAGTTACCAACATAAAAACAAATTATAAATGCTCTCTGAAGCGCAGTGTCAGATGACAACTTTATGAACAGAAATGGTCCCAGAGCTTCAGTTGCGAAGAACCTTCTTCAAGGAACAAGCAAAGGAAGAAAATGTGTGATGCAAATTGGTACTATTCTTGGGGCTTTTGTATGATACTTGAAGATTTAAAGTTGTGTATTTCATATTATAATAACTTTAATGCACATTGTTATTATGCTAGACGGGTCTCATTTTTATGCACATGGCTTATCTAGCCTGGAAGTGACTTGCAAATTAGTAGGCAAGGTGTCCTGATATTTTACAGTGTGAGAAAGGAATCTGTATAATTTGAAGTACACCTTTTTGGTTTTATAACTCTTATATTCCTTATAAACAAAAACAATGTGTCAGTCCAATTTTAACATGACCTGATCTCTGTCTCTCTATGTTGATTGTGCTTGAGAAGGTAACAAAAAGAGAAGCATGAATGAGTCCAAGTTTATTCCTGACAAATCCATCTTGATCACATGTAATTCTGAGCTTCTCTAAAGAATGGCATATGATGAGAGCAAAATATGGCTATCAAATCAAGTCAAAGAACATTTCAGAAGAAAATTCCCCTTAGAAACTCAACAAAGACAACTACCTTACACGTACACTATAAAGTTACTTATATAATGTCATATCCAGGATGCAACATGTTTATGGTAAGTTATTTAAAGGT